CCCGTTTAACTTGTATTCAGTGGAGATTCATTTGTTTTTTTGAGAAATATTCGATTGTGCCTTGAACAGTTCAAGAACATTTTCGATTCTCAAATCAAATTATTCTTTAAAATATTTCCAATTAATTTAGATTTATTTGCTATTAATAGTAAATTAATTATTCATTTATCGAAAAATATTTGCGTAGCTATAAATACGATTACAAGTACCTGCACAGTGTCCCGTTATTTCCGATGCTGGTCATACAGGGTGTCCCATAACTCCGAGATAGAGCAACCCATGACACTATAAATTAAAATTAAAAGATACAGATTGTTTAAAGTAAAACTTCGTTTTAGAAAGATTTTTGAGAATCTCAAAACAATTAAATCATTGACAAAATAGATTATTAAAAAAAACAATTATCATATATTCAAGGCATACTTCGTGAAATTACTGTTACTAAGTTACTTTGTACTTATATGCTACAAACGTTAACACATCTCGCCAAATACATCAGAATACGAGCCCTATCACTGTAAATATGAAATTAACAGTAGCCTTAGTTTTCCTTAGCCTTAGAGGTGTATATATTTTTGTATTTTTTGACCTATACGAGTAGGCCAAAGGAAGAATATTCTCACCGAAATCCAAAAACGGATACCTACGGATACCTTAACGCATGGTCACATCACCATCCTGCCCAAAAATCATCGGTTATAAACTTTTTTATTTACCGAGCCGTAATACTGAAGTCACTGAACCCATAATTAAAACACCTTACCTCTGCTCTTCTCTCTAATAATCTAATAATAATAAAAACATGTTTAGTGTATTATCTCTCCAAAGGCGACAAGTTGGTAGAAGGTTAAACAATTTCCTATTCGTCCGAGGCCTATGGATGCCGCGTTCTATTTAAAAAACAAAGATCACGTAATACCGTTTGCACCATTTATAGGATTTTCATGCAAGATAATGCAAAGCCCCATATTGCAAGGGCTGTTTTGGATTACTTAAATAAAATCAAGAATCAGATCTTGGGGTGGTCACCACGCAGTCCAGATTTAAGTCCAATAGAGCACCTCTAGGATTATAGTTCGGCAATTAGGCTGCAAGAGAGTATTGCCGTCTTGGAATGGGAAAACATTCATTTAAGCAACCATTCTAGACTTATTAATTTTTTGTAAATTGGAAATTCTCTTTGTTTCTAAAGTAGATTTCTATAATTCTATAATAAATAAATTTTATAAAATTCTTCGAACTAATTTAAATATTATCATAGTTTTCGGGAAAATTACCATAAAAAATGTTTACCATATATTGCTTTTATGTTTTCAGGGAGAATTAAAATGTCTCATTTTACCGCCTGATAAAAAAAGGGCGAAAAGTGATTTTTATAAAAAGCAAACACACTGCCCTTCCTAATACTAATTCTAATTCCTCAATCAAATTAAAATTTTGTAAACATTAAAAAATCCAATTTTTAAAACCTACACAAAAACATTGTTTAATTATATTTCTATGAATTCTAACCTAACAGCAATAAAAAATAAACATTTTGGGAACAAAACATTATAAACCTCATTGTAAAATAATTCGTACTATAATTAACAAACTTATAACGTAAAATCTTGGTTGGTTTATTTATATTCCATACCGTTATCGTAATTTTGTTACCAACGTCAGCAATGGAAATCTACTTTTTTTTAAATGACAATTTAAAGTAGGCCTACAGTATAACCTTGTATTGTTAACAACCGATGCCTTTTTGTAATTTTTATTTACCTAATCGCTATTAATTGGTAATTTCAGTGCAATATTTTAATATTTAGATAATGTCCGAGATTTTTAAGATTTCTTGTGTAAATTGCGACTTCGTCTGACTGGTTTCATTTAAATGAATTACGTACATTATTGTCATAAACGTGTGCAGGTTTCTTTCATTAATATTCAAGGTTTCCAGCGAAATAGAATTTTAGGAAAGCCATTTCTTTTATGTAGAAAGGCGGATATTGTCTCATTTTATAACATGAACATTCAATTGGGAAGTATGGAGAGTAGAAACTTCCTTTGATTGTTTGAACATCATAGGCAATGATAAATGTTTATGAAATAAGTTTTTTAGCTTCCATTGTCTTTATTATTCACTTCCGTACACGTTTCAATTAATCAAGTATCTCCAATCGCCTTCAAGTGAACACTGAAGACATTACCTAAAGTCGACTAGAGATCCTTGACCAAGTTGAGAAGTCAGTAATAAAGACACGAGTCGTCAGAAGCTTCCTTTAATTGGCGCGTTTTTTTTACTTATAAATTTGCAGATGCAAAAGTCCCCACCTAGTGAAAATGCCAAGAGAATTTACCTATAGTTCTTAAATTATTGTAAATAAATCTGTTACGCGGTGTTCCTAAACTCTTATTACAAGTAAGCAGATGGAAAATAGAAACACATCGGCATCTAAATATTTTGTTGCTACCATTTTTAAAACCACACCAACTTCATACAACATCATATTAAATTCTATGAAAAATTCTGACACTTTCAATTTAACATATGTTATTCTTGGGCAAAATCTGTTTTGTTTACGGCTTGCCGATGGGATGCTGTATCATGTTATGGCATAAAATTTAAGTTATCGTCTGCAGAATGTTTACAAAATTATTACTTACTATTATTTACGAAATATATAAATGTAAATAAAATGTGAAATATATATGGAACCCCTGCATTTTATTGCGGCAATAAAAAAGACAATTCTTGAACTTAAAGTAATAAACCATATTGAATCAATTTGGAGTTAAAAAACTAATAATAATAATGCAGTTTTTAGTGGTACGTCATAGCGATATAGTTTGACAATTCAATTAGATAGTTTTAATCAAACAATTTATTTTTTTCTACTCCCGTCTGTAAAATACTAATTACCCGCCGATCTAGCGTGCAGGAAGCGTCACTTTACCACGTCAGTTTCGTTTCCCACGAATCCGAACCCTTTCGGACATTTCCGGGATTTTACCGCACGGATTTGGGAGCGATCGGATGTTTTTGGAGATATTTCCCACGCCTTCAATTTTTACGTCGGTCAATTCTGACGGTCATGTCAGTGAATGTATTCGTGTTTTGCGAAAATGTACCCAAAATCTAACGGTCGTAGAAAAAGTATAATATGCAACACGTTCGGTAAACTTTTTAACTCACTCGTTTATTAAAAACTCGTGAGTCAAATGCCGTTTACCGCACTTGTTGCATAATATACTATAAGTCACTCTTTTATTAAACACTCTCCGCTGCGCTCCGCTTGTGTCAAATAAACTCGCGAGTCAAATGCCGGTTACCGCACTTGTTGCATAATATACTATTATATAGTTTATATTCAGATGATATGTAAATATTATGCAACAAGTGTAGTAAAAGGCATTTGACTCACGAGTTTATTTGCCACGAGCGGAGCGCAGCGGACTTAAAGTGACTTAAAGAGTTTGCCGAACGTGTTGCATACTTAAATATTTCTACCACCGTTAGTTTTTGGGTACATTTTCGAAAAACAACACGAATACATTCACTGACAAACTTCAAAATTCAAGGCGTGGGAAATATCTCCGAAAACATCCGATTGCTCCCAAATCCCCATTTGCTTTGTTCAATTCGAGTTTAAATTAACTGATCGTTGTTTAAATATGAATTCGCCACATCTTTCATAGGAAATATATGGGTTATTTAAAATTGGATTATTTAAATCAAAGTAAGAGAATTATTTTGGGAATTTTAGGTAGATAATTCCAAAATATGTATTTAATTTCTTTCCTAGTCTTTTATTGAAGAAAACTTTTATTGTCATGATAATTAATATTCTCTCTTGATCGCTACGTGCGATTTTTTTACGTTTTGAGCCGGCACCGAAGCGGGCTCTACCTGTGGCAACAAAGTGAACGCGCGCATGCTAAAGACAACCGGCCTAATTCCACGCACTTCCAAGTTTTGGATTACCACTACATCACCACAGGGACAAAACCCCGAACAAATATTGTCTTATTATTCTTAAAATATATCGCCATGACTTACTACTGAAAGTCATATTTGCTTAAATTGTGTATTGTGCTAACTCCAAAACTGTTCAAAATAATGCCGTAATAAATTCACAGACTTCCCATATCATTTTTATTTAGCAATATGTGCATAATTTTGGGAACACTCTTAAATCTCATGTCATAATATGATACTGTATCATATTATGACATGAGAGTATATATATATATATATATATATATATATATATATATATATATATATATATATATATATATTATATGCTGACACTATATTCCGGGATACCATCCGTTCGCTTGTTGAACTCCGACTGGAATCCTGGAATATATATATATATATATATATATATATATATATATATATATATATATATATATATATATATATATATATATATATATATATATATATATTAAACGTTATTCTTAAAAACATAATTTTTATATCCAAAATAGCTTGAGGGAACAATAACATATGTTACATAGAAAGTTTCAGATTTTTTTATAGCAATGCTGAAATGCTCTAAATATTTTAAAAATAGGGATTATAATCGCAGCCCAATTTTTAAAGGCCTATCTTTATCCATTCTTCATATACTTTTATAATCCTGTATACCTTCACTATTTTAAGTATTGTTTACTAAATTAGTTTCATGACATCCAGTTATTTTCTTTCTTTCATATAAAGATAATTTTTTGTCGAAATCATATTCACGGCTAAATCACTTACGAAAGTTTGAAAAGATTATTGAACAGAAGACAAAAATAAAGTGTTAACGTTTATTAAATAAATAATTGAAAACTCATAGGAATGGTACGGTCGTTAGTATTCAGAAGGATTCAGAAATAACAAGACGGGAATAAGTATTGTGTAGTTTGAAAAAAGTTGTCGAACGGGATTGTATTACTTAAAATCCTCTAGTCCCTTCATATTGGATTTTGTAATTGTGAGAACTATAAATTCCGTATTACAGACGGCTCCGAAAACATGGATTGAAGCAACCTTTTTCAAAAGGGAATGTTGCCGATACAAACCAAGCAATAAGGATGAATTAAGGTAAGATATATCATTAGTGAGTTTTATTTGTTTAATTAATGAAATTAAATTATACTAAATAAAACTAATAATTATTAAAAACAAATGTAAATTTGTTAAATTCAAATTGAAAAAAAACATTCGTTCGTTTAAATTATTCTTTCTTAATGCAATCAAAGAATGGAGGATATTTTATTTTATCATATTTTATTATTTAATTAATTTTCGTTGGCCATATTTTATATTATTTAGTATTGGGTACAATAATAGAAATATTTTAATTAATGTTGTTTCAAGGGAATCATTAAGAGGTGATTCAAATATATAAAAGGTTTAAAATAATATTCTTCGAAATTATATCAATTGAAACTTGGAGCATTATTACAAATTATAGGGTTCACCAAATTGGACAAAAAACAATCGTAAAAAAATGTTTTAAAAAAAATGTGCAAAATTGTTTGTTATGGAAAGTTTTGTTTTTCCATGAAGTAATTTATATGTTTTACGCAGAATTTAATTACCCAAATATAATATTTTTATATTTGCAGGTCATATTGCAAACCTCCGAAAATGTATTTAAGAAGTTTTCTTTCAGGATATTGGTCAAAATATAAAGTACTTGCTGTTTCTAAATTCTTCTCGCGTTTCATAAAACATGGTACAATATGCCGTTTATGTGAAATATGAGAAAATCAAAGTTCGACGTAATAACAACAAATTCACAACTACCAGTGCGCCATTTGTTTCCGGTATTATTTTAAAAATATTATATTTAAAGCATCAAATTCTACGTAAAAATTTGCTTTGAAAATGTTTTCATAAATACATAGAATTTAATAACGAAAAAATTACAGTGATTTGAAATTTGATTGCGTTTTTTATTATTAAAGGTTTTTTGAAAATTGAGCTCCATGCACCGGCATTAGTTTTCGTCTCTCTTCTATAGAGGATTTTTTCTTTTGAAGGTGCCTAATTTGATCCCCTTATTTTAGGTTCACTTCATTTCAACTGTAAATACTGTTTTACTTTTTCTGTTTTAGATGTTCTTGCGGACGCACTATAGAACAGCACAAATATTTAACGACCCGAAACCCCATGCCACCTGGAGAAATATGGTTTCCTACCAAATGTACCGTGGCCCACCCTACCGACGCGTACGGAACTCTGGAGTTTCAGGGCGGACCCCATCCTTCCAAAGCCCAGGTAAACATGCCTTCCACGATATAGGGTGTTACAAAATGCGGTATCATGAGTGTAGGGACATTTTTCAATTTGAAATAATATATTTTTTTGACTATAAAAAATGTGTTAAAATTTCAAGATTTGTTAGTTGACGTATTTACATAAAAAACTAAAATGGGTTGCGTTTTAGCGATTACATCATCGATATGCCGATATTTTCAAATTGGAAAAAAAACCTCGAAAATAACCATCTTCCAAGTGAAAAAATGTTAAATGATTGATTCCTTGCTTTCAGTACATAAGGGTGGCGCACGATACCAAACCCGAGTATTTAATGCAACTGTTGACCCGTGAATGGGGTTTAGAACTGCCAAAACTACTGATCTCAATCCAAGGCGGTAAGGCGAATTTCGATCTGCAGCCGAAACTTCAAAAAATATTGCGCAAAGGGCTGCTGAAGGCAGCGCGATCCACCGGGGCGTGGATATTCACTGGAGGGACCAATACAGGTAAACAACAATGTCTCAAAGTATATTTATCGCCTTGCCTTTTAACGAGAATTAACTAAATAAACCGCCAACGTAAATAAAACATCTGACTAGTCGATACCATGGCCAGACTTTCAATAAGTTTTAAAAACTATCATAAATAAGTTCGTTTTTATTAAAAATTTAATTCTGTGTCACTCTCCTTGTAATCATTAACATGATTTACAATGTTCGCTATGTTATTTTGTAGCAAATGTTTTTTTTCAGCCCTCAGCAAGTATATTATTAATTACATTTTTAATTAAATTTATTTTACTACCACAAATCTTCTATGAGGTTGAATACCCAATGATATGTAGAAGACGGAAAGCAGTATGCCTAATCTGTTCAGTTTGTCCATAACAAACAAAAAAATTTAACATTTCCATAAGTTGCTCTTTCTTGTAATTGTAAATAATCATCATCAATCATTTTGAATTTCACTTTTTGAGTGAGTCACTTTGTGAATTTTTATTAAAAAAAATTGAGAGCAGGTTTCAAAAAGTTCTGCGCTTATCTTTATGATTGTCGAACTGTTTAATATTCATCGCCAGCAGTTTGAAGTAATTCCCTCTTCTTCATTTTCCTGGAATTAACCCATCTATTGCATACTGTATCGTGTGTATTGAACCAAGTTTCGTCTAAGTAAATAATACATGTTTTCGAATTTTTACTTTTTAATTTCATAAAGTGTGCAATCTCTGCGATTTCATGACCATGGAGGGTGGCACGGATAAATTATATTGGTTTCATCTTCTAACTTACTTTTCAATTTATGCAAAGTAGGAACAACCGGGTTTTGACAAAAGGAGAATAATTTTATTCTTATAATGTCTTGTTCACTATTGTCCAGACAGTGAGGTTGAAAATAACTAGTTTTTTTTTGTTTAAGTAAGTTACGGCTGAGGATATTGGCCTTCTTGTTTAATGAATCGTGTACTTATTAAACATTGATCACATCTAATCACAAGTAATTTCTAACTGACATAAGGGAAAAATTAGTGATGTCAGTAAAACGGGTTAATCATTACTTTTACTGATATCAGCCGACTAGTGGTCAAGATTACTTTGAGGCTCACCATACTATAATGTGTTGCATATATGCTTTATCATATCACTCAGTTATGTGATGTATTCGTGCAAAAAATTCAGAATTAAACAAGCCTAAACAAAGTTGTGACTAAAGTGTCGTTTATAAAACTTGTTACATAAAGACATTTCATTAGTATAATCTCGTTAAACTACTTTACTGAAACCATACGAGGTAATACTCCTAATAGGGTAATAAATTTTTAGATGGGATTAAAAACAATCAATTATGCAGCTGCCACCACATAATGTAGGATATACGAGTCCCCTAGGTTCATATAAATAAAACTTGTTTTGCTAAAACGTAATATATAATAACAAAGCTGGTTTTGTCGTTTTTTTTTGCAAAAGTATATCTTAACAACGGTTCGGGGGAATTCAGAACCAAGGTATGTGTAATTCCGCTGAACATTTCTAAAAAAAAGTATATTAAAATTTCTATCACTCTGTCACAAGTCATTTTAAATATTTGAGAAATTGAACATAAACCACCACATGCTTATGTTGATAAAAAGAATTATTAAAAAAATTGTATGTTTAAAAAGGTCTAATTGTGAGAGAAAATAAATTAAAATAAGGGGAAAAAATAACTGCGTTTATAATGTAGTAGCAAAATGTAGTGTTTCCAGTATCATTAGTTTTTTGTACAGATACATGACGTGACGTATGACGTGACCATCAGAATTGACAAACGTCAAAATAACACTGTTGAAAATATACTGAAAACATCCGCTCGCTGTTTTTACTTTCCGTTCGCCTTATCAGTGCATAAATGGGTATTTTAGAGTGGAGAATAAAAAATTATATAGATGAGATTTCAATCACAACTTACAAATCATTAACCGTGAGAGGTGTACATTCATAGAAAGTATAATGAGTAAGATTTTTCAAAACTATTAAAATACAATATGGGGTAATTATGTGGATATCTCTTTTTAGATTGTAAATGACTCGATGTGCAGGTTCGTGGGTGAAATGTAAACGCATGCGCCGAAGATCATTCCTATCTCTGCGAAAATATCACAGCCATCTTAGGCGCTTCAATTTTAACTGTTGTATGCTATGCAAAAATGCACCCAAAAAGTAATGGTAGTAGAAAAATTATACTATGCAACACTTTGATAAACTGTTTTAGTCACGACTTTGATTTAGCACGAGTTTAATAAACGAGATAAAGGTACTTAAAAAAAATGTAAATATTTTGTTTATTACATTCCCAAAATTTCATGTTGTTTAAAAAATAAAAGTGCTTCCAATAAATCGTTTTCCATTTTGTAACAAACATAGGAAAAATTACCATTGTTGAATAAGGGACAAATTCTATAATACCAAAATATTCAACCCAGTTCACCAAATTAAGCAGATGACACTGAATGTCCTATTAACTGTTGAAAATTATGTCTTGGTGTCATTTAAGTACATCAACAATCCATATTATTATGAACTTTTCTTTGATTTCAGGTGTTACAAAACATATCGGGGATGCGTTGCTTCTCGAAAGATCTCAAAGAACGGGCAGAGTGAACACACTAGGAATTGCTCCTTGGGGTGTAGTAGAAAATAATCAAGACTTAATTGGGCACAATACCGAAGTACCCTACCACTCGATATCATCGCCCAGGTAAGATTTATATTTTATTAGGCGGATGATAACGTCAAACAACACCCGATGCCTGTTTCAGATCGAGAAGTGCAGCGTTAAACAACCGACACGCATATTTTCTGTTAGTAGATAACGGTACTATCGAAAAATATGGCGCAGAAATTATTCTGCGAAGGAGACTGGAAAAATACATATCCAAACAAAGATTATATCCCTGTAAGTAAAACACTAAATATTCTGGGAACTAACGAATAGAATTTTGTGGAATTTATTATTTAGCAGCAATAAATTTAGCAAATTCAAATATATTTTATTACAGATTCAGCTATTGTGAAAAATTCTCAAGTAACTTTTGCTATCTATACGAACCTCCTACAGTTTTTGAAAAAGCAATTAACGTTCCTTTTTTAGAATATTACTTTTTAATATCGAGTTTTTTATTACTCCTTCGAATCGACTCACATACTGTTGCAGTACGCGTCCCTATACGCAACGCTTTATAAATAGAAGCAAATTGAAAATGTTTTCTTGTTTTGCGAGTCTACAAAGTTTTGTTAATTTACCCTAGCAGTTAATTAACGAACAATTCCACCTGCATAGCTTCAATTATTTCTTAAGCGTCTTTGTATCCGAAAAACGGTATGAGGTGGATAGAGCGAATATCCGTAAACACAGTACGTTACTTTACGCTTTCCCTCACCTAAACCCTCGCAAGTACTAGGGCTTAAGGTCATTCGGTCACCTATATTCATATTCTTCTTCTATTCCATTCTATATAATGGACATTTTCGCAGCCCATTTTTTCTTCGTCTCATTGATTCTGACTTCATTCTACATTTTCATACATTCTACATTTACATACAGTTCATACTAGTTACAAACTTGTTTAATAAAATCACACATGCTATTTAAAAAAACTTATTTACAAGATAATGGAACAGTAGAAGTACAAAATAACAAACACAGGGATGTGCTTGATAAAGGACCGATTTTACACTCACAAAGATACACATGGCATCTTATTACTAAAACACCTATGGTTAAGATGAAATTTTTTCTACACTCCAGACAACCATTTTCTTTTTATCAATAACAAAATCCTTTTGAGCATTTGTTAAAATTTGTCTTAATTAAGTGTCTATTGTTCGGTATGATGTTTATAGTATTAAAGTGGAACTACCCTGGTTTATGTCCCTTGATACACAAACACTGAATCCAGATTTATTGAGAATCGATAAAATTATATTTTTGCCCCAGATTTCAGTGCCTTTATTCTGCTGATACTGCAAACAGCCACTGTATATAGCATTCCAGGCATATAGTTCAAATCATCAGGTATTTCTACCTAATATACCTACGGTTGCTATTATTCCACTAAGAATTATTATTTGGGAAGTAAATTTTTATCCCAAAACGACTTTCCTAAATGTCAACGTGAAAAATAACGGCGACAATTATATCTGACCGCATCTCCCCCCGCCCTTATCCGTCATGCGACGGATTTTGTAGTTTTGTAGTTAATACAATGCTTTGTTCTATTCCCTTTTTTGAAGTTTATCAATTCAGACGGTCATGTCAATGAACATATTCGTGTTGTTTTGCAAAAATGTACCCAAAAACTAAAGATCATACTACACTTCTTGCATAATATAAGATTGTCATTATTCATCACCTATTGGTTGCCACAGAAATAGGACAGTGCACATACAAGAATCCAAACTTTATACACTTTTTCGATAAATCTTGTTTTATCTTGGTTTCAGTCACACAAAGCCCAATTCCAATAGTATGTTTAGTAATAGAAGGTGGGACAAATACAATAAGAGCAATATTAGAGTATGTCACAGATGACCCACCAGTCCCAGTGGTCATTTGCGATGGGTCAGGCAGAGCAGCCGACCTCATAGCTTTTATGTGCAAGTAAGTTTGTATAATGTATCATTTTGCCATTATACGATTTTACGTCTAACTTCAGATATGAATGTTCAATGTTAAGAACCATGAAAGAGTATATAATAGCCGCCATTCAGAGAGCCTTCGAAGTTGCCGCTCAGTTAGCTGATGGACTATTTAGCGAACTAATGTTATGTGTGGAAAATAAGCATTTGGTAAGTGTAACTTACACACTTGACATCACAATATAATTTAAAGCCAGTGGATCCAGACTTGAGGGGCACATGACAAAAATGGTTTTTATAACAGTTACAGTTTAACTTTCAAAAAGTAGCAATCCAGATATGAAATAAAATGGCTGTGAAGGGTTTTTCTACATTACTTTAATAAGTGCAATTTATCAATTTCAAATTCCAACCCAGAACAATTGATTAGTCCATTATTGAGTACCAAATACATTATTGGTTTAATGAGCTAAATAGAAAGCGGTTCCCATGTTACTACTTTTTATTTTAGCACTAATGTTCTTGCTTTTTTCAAACTGCTAGTTTTATCTGCTGCAGAGAGTTCTAAATACACTTTTGGTATGTTAACAAGTCTTGATTTCAATATTTGCTTCCAGTTATTTCAAAATTCTAGAGGAGTATTAAATGATTAAACACATATTCAGTTAGGCTTTTGCTTCTACCTATACTTAACAGGAACATGAAGAGCATATATTTGTCCGACATTTTTCAAATTTATAAGTATAGTGCTGGCAAATTGCCATAGTAGCGGCACCAAAAATAAATGAAAAGTATTATTAACCTTTAAACTGAAAATGCTACAATTTAGTCTGCATTTTTTACTCTGTAGATTATAGGTTTTAAAAGCTAATGCCAAATGAAGGATAAAATGACTGTATTTCTTTCACTATGTTTTCAGTACCCTGAAGTGTAAAGTCAATTGTAAAAACACTTTCCTTTGCTTTTATACTCCAATTTAAAGTAGGGGTAACATTTTCTACTTTCACATTTCATTTTACTTGGTGCCACAAATATTCTCAGAGGTTGAATAGTCAGTGATTTGGAGGAAGAGGTAAACGAGTATGCGCCATCTGTACAGCTAAACTATCACATACATATTGTTTTTTTAATAGCATATGAATTTAACACTTCCAAAAGTTGCCCTTCCTTGTAACCAAATTCAAAGTAGATATCATTTTGTAACAAATAATCTTGAATTCTTGTATCTTCATGCTAGTGCAAGCTAGAGTCATTAATCTTCTTCTCTTTTGATCCAGCGTGAATCAACCCATCCTTTACATACTGTTTCGTATGTATCCAAGCAAATTTCATCCAGATAAATTATATATTTGTTTTCGAATCTACAATTTTTAATTTCTTTAAAATTAAATCTCCAAGTGCTCAACGTGTGCGATTTCATTACCACTTGTTTTTTGGCTATTTAATTATAATTACATTGGCTTGATCTTCTTCTAGCTTTCTTTTCAGTCTGTGCAAAGTAGGAGCAATAAGATTGATTGATATCATATCTTGTTCACTATTATCTAAGTTTGATATAGTCAATTTTTGACAATTAAGAAGAATTTTGTTTCACCGCCACTCGGCTCGCCCGCTAACTTGATTCTTTGATTATGAGTAAGTAGTGTAATGTTTCTTTTTAATTGAGTTTTCTAAATATCTCGCGGGCCGGATCAAGTCTTACGACCAGCCCGACTACTTTTTTTTTCTTTCATTGAATAATTCACTGTTAACAATATCCTTTATCGAGGATATTGGCATTACTATGAGGAAGCAGCTTTAATTTAAATCTTCTTGTTTAATGAGTCCTTTACTTATTAAATATTCATACACATTTCCCACATTTTATTTTGCATCTAATGACAGCTGACAGCCCTAAGAAGGATTTTCGAAAATGGTGCGGACTATTCAAAACTGCCACTGGTGTCAGCCCACTCTTACCTATGAATAGAATGTAAACATTCCAAACCAATCTACTAACGCCTTGGCGTTTAGAATGGGTGTGTCACCCAATTATATTCCTTGAATTGGAACACTTGAGGTTATAAGCATCGATTTGACATCAGCAACCCAATAACTATCAAAAATTCTTTTTTCTTGCTGCTATGTAAATCGTTTTATAAGTGTCGGAATGAGTGAGTGACGCGGCCTAATTGGGTTAGAAAAATTCTTCTTCAATATGGATGAGCTCTGATTAACTCACTAAGTTATAATGTTGATCATCATGACATAATCAAAACTTGATTTACTTCAATTTTGATTACAGATAACAATCTTTAGAACATCTGACAAATATGACCAAAAGCCACAAGAACTAGATCAGATTATTTTAACAGCCCTTTTCAAATCTCAACATCTCTCACCCACTGAACAACTTAGCCTGGCACTAACCTGGAACAGAGCTGACATAGCTCGATCGGAAATATTCATCTATGGCCAGGAATGGCCACCTGGAGCGTTAGAAGATGCAATGATGAAGGCTTTAGAACATGATAGGTGAGAAGGGCTATCATGAATCATTTGCTCGCCTGTTTAGAATATGTTGGGTGCGTTAATACGGGTTTGGGGTTTTTTTCATAGAATAAAACAAACAGAAAAATTTCGGAAGAAATCAGGCAGTAATAACGCTTACTACTAACTTTTTTCCATTAAATTTTAATGGTCAGAAGATACTTTAATAAAAAAAAATCAATATGAAAACAGTTTTGAACTATTGGAGTTTGTTAGGAAAAAGTTGCTCAGCCTTGTATATTATAGGTTCTCACTGTACTCTGCTTCATTTTTTTAATGTTTTAAAATTAACCTAAAAAATCTACTACGGAAAAACTATAATTTGGGTCCTTATCCTTAGTTTATTAGTATGGCGAGTTTTATAAACATGTTTAGAATTATTTAATTTAATTTTTAGGTGTGACTTTGTTAAGCTATTGTTAGAGAATGGAGTAAGTATGAGAAAATTTTTGACAATACCGAGATTGGAAAATCTTTACAACTCAAAACAAGGCCCTAGTAATACTCTCAGATATATTTTACGAGATGTGAGGCCTCATATACCAGTGGGATATGTATACACGCTACATGACATTGGATTGGTTATAAATAAACTAATGGGCGGAGCTTACAGGTGAAGTTTTAACTTTTTTGAAGTCGAAAAAGCAATCATCTTCATTATTTTTTTGCAAATGTTAAATGTTGTCAATTAATTTTTGTACCGCTGTGTATATTGTACTGTATTGAATAAATTTTAGAGCATTTTATACAAGAAGAAAGTTTCGGCCTATATATGCAAAGGTTATGAACAGAGCTCAGAATTTAACAATGGGCACCGCACCTTCCAAGCCATTTTGCGCAATCAGCTTACTGACTGAATCACTTCCATCAGGTGCAAGCCCCTGTTTATTTGACTATCCATTCAATGAACTTTTGGTAAGCGCGGTTCCAACCAATATTAATATTAGTTTATTGTTTTTGTTTTGTTATAAAGCAACTTTGTCAAATCGGGAAAATATTTTTTTTTCTTAATTTTTCAGATTTGGGCTGTGCTTATGAAACGACATAAAATGGCGTTGTTGATGTGGCAACATGGCGAGGAAGCTTTGGCAAAAGCGTTAGTGGCATGTAAATTATATAAGGCAATGGCCCATGAGGCTGCCGAAGATGATTTGGAAACCGAGGTTTATGAAGAACTTAGAGCTTTTGGAAGGGAATTTGAAACTATAGGTAGAATTTTTAATTTTACAAAATTTTAGTAAGACCTAAAACTAGTTAATTTCGTTAGGGTTAGAGGTATTGGACTATTGTTATCGACAGGACGACGATCAGACGCAACAGCTGTTAACTTGCGAATTGCAAAATTGGTCAGGACAAACTTGTCTTAGTTTAGCTGTAGCAGCTAATCATAGAGCACTCCTAGCTCACCCCTGTTCACAAATAATTTTGGCAGATTTATGGATGGGTGGATTACGTACTAGAAAAAATACCAATATTAAGGTAAGCAATGCAGTGACAAGATATTTTTGTCTGATTTTATTTTGTTAATAATGTTAGAAAAATCGTCAAGGTTGGTAAATTATTTTATCACCAATTGTGTATGATTACATATCAAACACTAAAAAATATGTCCACTCATTTTCAAACAAAGCAACTCTTTTATGTGTGTCGCAAAATTTATTCCATATAATTGTTTCATTAATTTCGGTGTTCTTTTTAATGTAATCGTTTACAATTTAATGAAAAAATGATAGCTATATAACTTCGCAGGAACATTAACACATTAAGATATATTCAATATATTTGGTTTAGGTCATTATGGGTCTATTTTGTTGCCCTTATATATTAAAACTGGAATTCAAAAGTAAGGAAGAGTTGCAATTGATGCCACAAACAACAGAAGAACATAAAGAACTGGAGAATGATGATGATGACAAGTCAGTTCCCGAAAAGCATCCAGATGGAGAGGTAAATTTTTATCATGCTTTGATTATGTAAATACAATCATTTAAATACTTTTGTCCTTAATATTTTAGTGGATAAATAATCACGGGTACATATTCAGAAGAGTAAGCAATAAACTTTTATGAATCATTATTTGTTCACACCTCACCTTTTTATATTCTCTTTTATATTCAATCAAATGATTGCTCTGCACCTTTTCACAAAGCACCACTTTGTGCTTGTTCTATGTTAAAACATGCACATACTTCGTAGAAAAACATCAAATAAAAGCACTGTCTCTTTTAGAAAAGTTACCTAAATTTTGTGTGCTACCTTGTCCCAATATTACCTCCAACAATTTTTTTTCTAAAACGGGATAAGTTTTGATTTTTGTATAAAATAATAGGATTTCTTTTTAACTTTTCCGTTGCAGCGAAAGTGCAATACTAAAAAGATTTGTATATTCTGATAAAAAAAATTGAAAGTATAGCAACTGTTAAATGCGGGAGCGTAATTACACACGCAACTGAACCTAAACAATTTATTAATCAAATAAAGTGGGTATAAATGTCAAAAAGCGCAAAATTACATTTTACACGTATCAAAACTCGAAAACAGCCATCTCAAGTCTTCGACTACCACACTCTTGTTACTTAAATTTGGTACGTAGCTACTTCAATGAGGCCTTCTGGTCAACGGCTAACTCTTCTATGGGCAGATAGATAGGGCGTTCATTTATTATAAAAGCCTAATAAAAGTTAAGGTGAATCTAAATCATTATGATTATCTACAATGACAAATTTAACAAATATTGCTAACTTCGTTCTAAAGATTGTGATGCAAAACATTACTATTATTATCTGGTTATAGATTGTTTCGCGATAATATATAACTACCAAAGTATATGTTAACTGAACTTTATCAATTTGTCAATCAATCAATCTATGTCAACCCGTTTGCTATATGTGTTCATTTTTTTGGCTCTAAATTTATAGTGTGAATTTTTTGTAGTAGAATTTAAACTGCTTAAAGAAGACATTTTTCGAAAATAAATATTTTCTAAGTTTCCTCCTATAATTTTAAATACATTTTAGATATGATAGTTGAACCTGCTGCATATTACCTCTCAGATCTAAGTACAAACTAGCTTTTTGTCATTTTGATTGTTTCTTATACACTGCTATTTTGAGATGATAAATTCAAGTATATAGATGGAATATAGGTGGTTAAAGCCAATGTTTTTTGGTGATGTTGTGATTGTTGTCATCTCTATGGATAATGCCTTGCCACAAAATAAAATGGTACTAAATTCCAAAAAATGCAAATGCATTTAGTTTTTTTAGAAGTCCGAACACTCATTTTTACAGGTAGAGCATGTGTTCAGATCGGTGAACATCATTACATATCTTAGAGTTCTGTTTGACAATAAAATAACATTTGTGTATTCACTAATAAAACATTTAGGATAGAGATATACTGGAGACTCCTGAAATTCTTGATGCAGTTCAAATCCTTTACATAAGCCGGAGAAATTATTTATCGCCTTGCAAACTTGGACGGGAGTACAAAAGGTTTATTAGGTACATTACGTACAAAATGAGGATTCCTTCCTTCACCAGTACATCAAAACACTTCAATCGGAATTGTTTTTATTTTTCTTTTGTTCTCTTTAGTTTTTTATAATTTGGGAATTTTTGTGTCGAGCAAATTGAAATTTGTTTTCATTTAATAATTTGCTGCGGTTATATTCTCCGCGTTTTTTGGTGACAATTTCACTGGATATATATCCATGAAAAAGTCGTATGTAGCTCCGGTGCCGTACTCCGCTGTGAAAGGGACTAGCAAGATTGAGGTAGAGACCAACGTGACACCATTTTTCCGCGTGCCAGAATTAAAATCTTGAATGCCGTCAAGTGTTACGAAATTGTACCAGTCAACAGCCAGAGCTGCATGCAGGTTAGACCGAGAAGAAAAGAGATTTTCATTTTATTTCTGGCTTCAATTTTATCAAAAATTATAGTCCATTGCTCTTTCTCGTCCACATTTCTGACAAACTGTTTATGTACCAACTTGCGAATGATCAGATAGCCTGTCCAAATAACTGAGCTTCTGTTTGACTCTGAAGATGTGTAGTGAAAGTCCTGTACTGTCTGAGATTGAACAGCGCAGGATAAATTGTGGTTGAAACATTGTCTTAAACCTTGGTGAAACCTTTTACATATACACAAGGCTAGTGCAAAAGTAAAGATAAAATGTCCCATTATTAATTTTTATTATAGTAGAGAAACAAATACAACTAAAACAACGGTACTAGTAGCTATTATCACCTGTTTTTCACTAGATACTACACAACCTATGTAAAAGTTGAAAAGTTCGCCAACAAACGCAGAGTAAATACAACTAGAAAAAATAATAAGTAAAATGTATTTTCCAAAATGCGAAAAACGTTTAGCAACTCTCAAAAAACCTTGCCAACACCTACCTCCGATATATGATTGATTATACATGATTTTTTTAATGTTTTCTTGAAGCTGTTAAAGTCCTACTACAAAAATCTGAGTCACTCTGCTTGAAATTTTAAGTGGCTGTTTTATTTCAGGCGCTTCTTACCGAGAATTACATCGTTAGGGACAAATTGATTCAAGAAAATGGCAAATATTTCACAGAATATGACAATACCAAGTATCATAGTGCCGCTACAGACATGCATTCCGATAAAACACAGAAGCAGCGAGAATTAAAAATCAAGAAAAAATTGTACGAATTCTATACTGCACCTATAACAAAATTTTGGGCCAATTCAGTATGTTGTCTCTTTCCTCTCTGCCCTATGCGAAATCAAAACTACTCTTTTTCAGATTGCGTATCTAATATTTTTGGTTCTCTTCAGTTATACAATACTAGTGAAAATGGACGAGATGCCCATTTGGCAGGAGTGGGTTTCGATGGCGTTTATTATTTCATTTGGCTGTGAGCAAATCAGAGAACTCATTTCCTCTGAACCAGTACGCCTAAGTCAAAAAGTGGCTGTTTGGTCATGGAACATGTGGAATCCTTGTGATATGGGCGCCGTTTTGTTTTTTTTGGTTGGAATGACCCTCAGGTATTCACTTGCCTTATTTACCCGTCCCGATTATTTTTGGTGCTTAAACTACAGGGTTGTTTGTTTTAATCGATACAACCAGTGCTATCTCTGCTAAAGCGATTGTGTTCTGCACCACAATATAGCATCTTCGAATTTTTTATTTTGACATTTCGTGTCCAATATGAACCTGGATTTTTTAATTTTTTGATATATCATCATAAATATTAGGGTCCTGTAATCAGTATTCTAAGATATAATACCATATTTACCATATATACTTTGTGCCTAGAAATGTGGTTTTAAAAAAAAACGTAAATTTATATCTTGCAGGTTTGGCGCCCAAACATTTAGTGAGGGGAGAGTGATATATTGCGTTAATAGCATCTACTGGTACTTAAGAATACTCAATATTTTAAGTGTTAATAAATACTTAGGTAAGTTTTTAAATTTTTTAAAATCTCAGTTAACTGTTCAGTTTTTAATCAGACAAAATATCAGCTGTTTACAATCTTTTGATATAATTGAAAATAGTAACATTTACTTCGTTTACTTATTAATGCACCATTTATTGTCATTAACCATGCGACCTGGGCGTGCCACTCTTTATTTACAGTTTATAGCTTAGGCAGACGCCTAAAAAGAAAAGGCATAAACATTTTTCCTCATCGGATTATCTATTCTTCTGTGAACCATTCAAGGAATTTCATATTTCAGGTCCACTAGTCACTATGATGGGCAAAATGGTGAAGAATATGATATATTTTGTTGTCCTCTTATTAATTGTGTTAATGAGTTTTGGTGTTAGCCGTCAAGCGATACTTAATCCGCAGGAACCGCCACAATGGAAAATTGTCAGAGACGTAAGCTTATTTTGTTGCTTTAATAAAAATGGTAGACACCAAATACCGATTTGTTAGGTTTTTATGGAGCCATATTTCATGTTATATGGAGAAGTGTATGCAGATAAAATCGATCCTGATTGTGCTGATGACTCGGAATTTCCTTGTGTAAGTGGTCGTTGGATATCTCCCATCATCATGTCCATCTACCTTTTGGTTGCCAATATTTTGCTGATCAACCTGCTTATAGCCGTGTTTAACAATATTTTCAATGAAGTGAATTCGGTAGCTCATCAGGTGAGTGCAGCTGCCAACCTTCTCCGGTAATGGTTTTTATAAATAAATAAATATTTTGTGTTATTAGGTTTGGATGTTTCAACGATTTACGGTTGTAATGGAGTACGAACAAAAACCAATTCTGCCACCTCCGTTGATCATTTTCTGTCACATATTCTTGTTGCTAAAATACATCCGCAGAAAAATGGAAGGAAAGGAGGAAGGCTACGATAATGGTTTAAAGTTATTTTTGGATAGGGATGAAATGGAACGTTTGTACGATTTTGAAGAAGACTGTGTGGAAGGTTACTTGGCTGAACAAGAGACCAAATTGCAACAGTCCACAGAACAGCGAATCAAAATCACGACTGAAAGAATTGAGTATTTAACGCAGGTGAGCAATACTTCTAAACATTTTTGGTATTTACTTACTTATTTGTTGCGTCTGCTTGATGTATTTAGTACTAATGATTTGTTGTGCTGCCGTTAGAAAATGTATTTTTTTTGTTTATATTTTTTATTTTTTATCGTCATATCATCTAGCCCTTTGACAAAGAGATTATTCCAAAGAATTTGAAGACACATGACTTAAGCGGAGGTATGCCTACCATACTCCATAAAGTTTTCTTCTTCGTGATAAATACTTTCTGAACTGAACTGTTGACTGCACAGGCGTAAAGTACGCAAGTTTTAGAATCCCATCAGAAACAGTTTCTTTTAATCTGCTTACTTGTTTTGGTAGTTCTATGGCTCAATAATATATCGGTATCATCAGCATAAACAACAGTACACCCAAGACAAGGACAACACTCATCTGCCACTATATTTACCAATATAATAAAAAATGACGGACCCAGAATGGGAACGCCCCCTTACTCCGCTTGCTAATCTAATAAGATTTTGTGGTTTATAGTGTCGAATGCCCTACATAAAATAAAAGTAAAGAGAGTTGCTTCCCATTAAGATATGTTAGTAGTATTTTGTCGTGTTCTAAAAATTATAAAGAATGTATTAAGTAAAATAGGAAATGTAGAAAAGCCTTTGAAAGTTGACTCTGAACACAAACGCTTTCCTGGGCCCCTTCCTTCTAAAAACTGGCATACACTTTTATATGTTAATCAAGTCTAGAAAACTGAGAAAGAGACAGGAGGGTTTAAAATTATTATGAGAAACATTATTGAATGTTTAGAAACAAATAATAAAATTTATTACAATTTTCAAATTTAGCAGAAACTGCGTCTCCCTTTGCATAAAAATAAAAAATAATTTGTTAATAATAAAATGATATCTTGCTAAACAAATGTAAATAGGTATTAAAAATTTAATTAATATTAATAAGTTAAAACAGCTGCTTATGCCATTTTTATTATAAAGCATCATTAATTTTTTCTCACACCGTATCACTGACTAAAAGTCTCCAGTTACAATTTTTTCCTCCAAAATTCTTAGGGCCCGTTGAGACTGGGCCGGTGAGCGGCCGGTGGCGGTCAGGTCATTGTATTTGATTATATGAAGGTGCTCTTAAAGAAAAACATTCTACCATGTTGGATGATTGTTATTTTAGAAAGTCGAAGATATCCATTCAAGAGAAAATGTACAGACGACCGTACTTCAAAATTTGGAGGTTCGATGTCGGAAATTTGCTGAACAGTTGGTCGATATGGCGAACGAATTGGAATTTCTAAAACAGCGACAACATTATGCCAGTCAGAAACGGGAAAAACTTCTTACACAGACTAGTTCAAAAGACACAGCTGATCCTGAAACGCCTGAACGTGTAACGGAGAGCGAGATTTCTGCAATTGCCGATTTAATTAACCAACCGACAAAACGCAAAACTATGACGAGGTCGCTGACTGAAGTGAGACCTGATGCGTTCATTTTCGATAACGGGCAATATATCGAATATAGGCACATCGAGGAAGAGCATGACGATTTCAAGCAGGATGTTGATAATATCTCAGTAACAGGTAAGCTTGTCCTTACTGATTGTTTATGTTATTGTCATTTTGATAATTTGATAATTTTCTAATTAGGTAAAACTACCAGTGTTTATTTTTTTAATGCAAATAATTAAGGATTACAGAATATTTATACAGGGTGTTTCAAAAATCTTGCTGCAACGCTCGGTTGGAGATTCATCCAACAAAAAAAAAGTTCAATATAGCCGTTGGTCTGGAAAATTATGTTGTAATTTAGTCATTTATATTGATAAAGGTCTAATTTAGCCGTCCCAAGAGCGTAGTTACCTTGTCTATTATGCGACAACACATAGAACGAGAAATGCGCGTAGAAACCCAAAAGAGAATGCTAGTAGACAAACTCCTTTCTATCATGATTAAATATCTCGATTACAAAACAGAAATTACTATTTAGTTAATCATGATATCTCTGCCAATTTTATTAAATCAAGCAAATATTTTTTTTAAGTCTATATACATGAATTGCAACAGTCCACAGAACAGCGAATAAAAATCACGACTGAAAAAATTGAATATTTAACGCAGGTGAGCAATACTTCTAAACATAATTAGTTTTGGTATTTACTTACTTATTTATTGCGCCTGCTAGACGTATTACTGATGATTTGTTGTCATATCATATAGAGGGCACTTTTCCCGATTATACTTAATTTAGCCGTTTGCAACTTGTTTCAGTGCCGCTTTTCCTTACTAGTAAATTATAATTTGAATTATTTATTCAACTGGTACCATTTTTGTATTTTCGTGATTTCTTGGTATTGATGTGGAATTTGTCAATTTAATTTATTGATTATTTAAATCACAATAAGTAATTTATAAGACTAGTAACACAGCTAAGTACATACTTAAAATATCAACAAGAAAAAATATAGAAAAATAAAAATAAAAAAGAAAACCTAAATCTGAAGAATTAATACACTGCAATAATTTTAGTTCAACGATGCAAAACTCTTGGACTGAGTAAAATGTTTTTTCGCATACAATTTTTTTTATTCATGTTGACCCACTTCAATATAAACAAACTACATACATGGATACCTATCCTACATAATGTCTTGGACTTTAGGTAAAGGCAAGTAAAACACGAAAAATGGTTATTAGCATTCTCTACAAGACTTCGAAGCGCATGAACATTAATTTTTTCCTACAAAATTAACACAAAAGAAAAGGTTGAAATTAAACACTCCATATAATGAAAACTAAGCATTTCCGGACCTACGTGTATATACAAAAAACATTTTTTATATGGTGTGTCTTAAAAGGTATAATCTTGGCATTTGAACGCAATTATCGAAATAACTTGCGGGTGGACCAATAAAATACCAGAGCAGTTATTGGAACGGACTTTCGAGGTGTTGTATATAAAGGTTAAGGTAATAGGAAATATAGTGACACTAAATATATTAAAAGTTTCACTCTCAGAGTGGTCATTAAGGTTAATTACCAGTACCAATTTTTAAAATGCACCGTATTGCATTTTTTCAGCTAACACTGGTATATTATTAATTTCATTTTTAATTAAATTTATTACTCTCGGATTTAAGTTGGAGTAACAATTAACAGTAAAATTAGTGTTATACTTCCAAGAGGCTTTTTCGAAACGCATTGTAAAATAAGTTATTCAACATTACCAACGATATCGTCCGACAACTGGTTGACAACTTACCTGCCTTGTTCCTGTCTTACTCCTTACCTATGAATTGGTTGTTGGTTTTACCCAGTAGCGATAGGTATGAGGATCCTGCTTACTTTTTAGAGAAAGGGCCGTTAAAAGCCAAGACGATATACTTTGAAACACACCATAGATATTATTGCCGAGTGAAACATCCAGCTCGAATATACGTATACAAAGAGTCGGCTGATAAAGTCGAATTTTTCAACTATGTGACTGTATTTACGGTTCAGAGTGTTTTAAAACAAAAAATAACTTTTACTCAATATAAAATAAATATTTGGTAGCGGACACAAGTTGCCGTAATAGGGCAGTTTAAATATTAAAAGTCAAAAGCGTTTTGTTAAAAACTTTCACCAGAGGATATAAGTTTTTTTTAAGGAACCGTAAATGTTTAAACAATTAGCTTTTTATATTTGAAATTAAGGTTAAATATCGTGTGTCGACAGCTTTGAATAGCGTTTGTTTTCTCTACAAATTTTTGAACGTTGTGTGTCTATGAACACACACATATTCGGTTATGTTCTTAAATTGAACTACTAACACACACGATTGGGTATATATTAGTTTTTACAGAATTTTATTTCTGTCATACTATAAGATAAGTAAGATGAGTCATGTTTCACAAGTATCCCGGACTACACATATTTAAAAAAAGTAACCAATTAACTGCAAAAGAGCAATTAAAGTTTATATAACTGGCACTCGTCACTTATATATAATTCTGTAAACTTTGTCATTATTTTGGTTTATTATAATAATAATAATTATTATTATTATTATTATCGAAATAAATTAAAGCTTTCATCTTGTTTTCATTCATTTTGTTTGTTGCGGTTCAAATTCTAGGGAACTTATTTTGTTGGATCGAAATTTACCAATTTTTTGTCATATTTAAAATGTGCATGTCCCACTGGTTCACAGATAGAGCTTACTATGAATTTATGAAGGTACCCCGGCTGTTGTCGTCCTTCACGTAACTAAACATATACAGGGTGTTATTGAATTGACATCTATTGTGTGAATCATGTTCAAGAAACAATGGGCAAAAATATTCATTATAAATTCGCAATAGAATAAATAATCCCCTCGATACAAATTTTCCATAGACAAAAGTGTGCCGCCGTTAATTTAACAGATTCTAATATGAATAAATCTGATTCATCCACTGATAATACAAGATGTTTCACATTCATTTTTGACACATTGTTAGTTTCGAAAAATATATTAAATTATCTGGCAGCAAATTTAGACACTATTGGTTTAACCAGCCCAAATTCCGAATAACCAACGGATATAGTGTATAGTGTATCACGAATTCACTCATTAGAATGTGGAGGGTTAGACACGTATCTCTTAAAAATAATACAATTAGACCTTATGGCTTCACTTCATAGTTCTATATAATTGGATTGGATTGGAACTATTACTCTAAACTATTCAAATATATATATATATATATATATATATATATATATATATATATATATATATATATATATATATATATATATATATATATATATATATATATATATATATGTTGTGCTGCATACCATATTAAACTACCGATGTATCTAAGTTATATACGAAATAGATACATAATAAAATTAAATTGGGTGTGTTATAAGGGTCAACTTGGACACAGCCACTGCTGTTTGTGGTGTTACTAAAATCTGTGTTTACAATCTATTTTTTTTTCAAATTGTTACTGGTTAATCGAAATCAGTGAGTTCAGTGTGTAAAAAAAACTGTCATCCATCTTTCAAATAAATAGACGAAAGCTTTTTCAACTTGTTGATTGAGATTAGCATAAAATATTGTACCCTAGTATATTTTAGATTCTTTGGCAACAAAGGTATCGTCCTGTATTCTCATCATTATCAGGGTGGATGTTCAGATTCACTCATTAAATTATATGATGTCAATTACCCAACACTCTGTATAGATAACAAAGCAGAGTACTAATTACAATATTCTACTAATATCTCGGAGATAGAACTGTGTCATGGACGAATTGATTAATGAGTTATGCTTACTTGTCACCAACCAAAGATATTGGTTAATTAAATTTATTCTACATTTCTAGGTAATTATTAAACTGCTTTATATCTTGGAATTGACTTCGTTCCTGTCGTCAGGTCGGACTTATAATAAAACTTCATCATGGTCATACTTTTATTCTTATAATAATATTCTTAAATAGGAATCAGTTAGTCCATAACATAGTATTGGTATAAGAACTAATAAAATATGTACAAAAACGGTGGCTTCTAATACACGTCACCTGTAGTGACAGTAACTTGCGCCTTTTCATTTTCTCGTCATTGCAATCATTACATATGTCATCAATTCGCAGTTTCAATTTCGTTTTTTTGCAAAACCATCTTCCCATTAATTAAGCCCATACTTCATTTAATCCGCATCCTCTATAACAAATAGCAACGAAACATTACCATTCCCACGAAGTCGTACACCTACACGTTTTTAGGTGAAGAAACTTCTGCAATAAGTGGCACACCTGTCACTGTGTTGGATAAACGTCAAATGGCAAGGGCACAGTCTGAACCGGAAAGTTCCGAATTGCCAGCGTCCGAATCTTTTACTAATTCGTTAAATAACGAACCTAAAATCAAAATTATACCTCGCGAAGCCATTTTGATGCATATGCATAGCGAATATACTAGTATTACAGACGAGTTGGAAACTGTGTGCGGTTTACTGAGCCCGTCGAAATCACCGGGGCTTTTGTCACCCCCCGGACCTGACCGATCTCCGCCAAGTAAGTGTTGCTTGATTCGTTGTTGGCTCTTACTTGACGTACTGATTATTATTATTTTGTCTTGAGGCTGATGCATAAAACGCATTTCCTTCATAATGTTGTTCCGTTTTTAAGAAACCTTTACTTTGAATGGTATGGTTCGTGACATTGTATAATGTAAATTGCAAGACATATCCTGCCAGTACCAATCGAACAAATGTCTATATCACAATTTCTATTCTTGGATCTAATTTTGCCCTTGATAAGAAAAATTAAGTGATTCATCATAACACGAGGATTGATTTTATTCGATTCCAAGAGCTACAAACCTGCAAAATTTGTCAACAGCTAAATTTTCTTAAACCTCTTTTAAGATCATCGTTCCATGATTTGCCTGGTCGTCTATGGCTGCACGAAAGTTTCAAGTGATTGGTTCCATATTTGTTCTGGTTCCTATAGTTTAAGTCAAACGCATATTTGTATTTAGAATGTGCGGTTACTATATATTTATTGGTTTTGTTTTCTTCTCTATTTATTTATTCCTTTACTAACACATATCGTTACTGCATGACGGCTTTATGTAACAGTAATTTCATTTAACTTTAGAGTCATCCATTTTTTAATCTACTTGAATGCATTGTAAGTTGTGGTAATTTAATTAATCAACTTCTTATCGCAATGAAGCACTCTTAATAATTTTTCGAAATTGTAATAGGTATAAGGAAACGTCATGTCTCTGAAATGTCTAATCCCGAAATAGCACTCAACTTTGAAAAGGAACATTTACGGAGTGCTGAAGAATGCGATTATATGGTAATGGAAAATTTGATCCAGAGACGTTATGAGAACGATTCCGAGGATGAGGTGTTGGTTAAGGAAAATGAAGGGATTGAACCACAGACGGGACGAACTTCCGCTTTGTTAAGTGTATTATCTGAAACGCGTGAATACAGGTATCTATTATTACTTTAACAAACGATGAATTCGCCATAAAGTCCTTAAGTTTGAATGAACTCATTTCTCAAATTTTTTTTTTCTAGATTGAATTCGTGGCCTGTTCGCAGCATGCTTTCCAGATCTGAAGCCACGGAGGGTGAACTATCTAATCCTAATATAAGTAGTAGCGGTAGATCCCAAAGCGAAACAAGTTAGGGAAGTCAAATAGATAAACTTTTAGAATTTCGAATACTATTTGTGTCGAACACAGTATTTTTGTCTCTCATCATAAAGAATGCTCATATTTAAAATGAAAATGCGTGCGTATATATCAAATTTATTTTTTTTTTCTCGATATTGTGATTTTACAGTACAATAAACTGATTTAAATCAAACATTTTTGTGAGTTATTTGTAGGATTCTTGTCTCCAGTCATACATAATGCTCATATTTAAACAAAAAATGCATACATATATCAAATGTATTTTTCCCTCGATATTGTGATTTTACAGTACAATAAACAGATTAAAATCAAAAATGTTTTTTTTTTTAATTATTTACTGTCCCACTTTATAATTCCCAAATTTATAAAATTTGTGACCCCGAACCGTTTTTACACTCCATAACCTTTCTGTCAATTCTTTGATGCTGGGTTTTTACATATAACCCACTGAAACATGAAATACAAAAACGAAAAATTTACAGAATTAAAATTTATCTCTGTAAAATGTAGTAAAGCAAATGTAGCACTAAAAACTGACACAATGTTGCCAGTGCTGGACATCGCTCACAATACACTATACATAGAATAATATTTTTATGTATGCAAAAGCATAGGGAAAGAAGAAAAAAAATAACGTTAAGAAAAAAGGTGATATTGCCATCGTATACGCTGATGGCAACAGTTTGCAAAGAACTTGGAGGTTTGGATTCCAAAGTATTAATTTCTTGCGTATTTAAACAAACCGAAGCCGTGTATCATGAACAGATGTACTTGTTTTGTGTATTTTGTGCTTAGCATCATCTACTGTAAATTTCCAAAAAACGCATTTGCGCCACATTTACTCATTTTGAAATAAGATTTAATGGGATCTGGACATATGTTGAAAAAGTGCTGCCGTAAATATGCCACATCAACCTTATTGTCCAATCAAGGTCGATGGATAAAAAGGACAGTTTAAATATCGCGCAGGGCTTTCTCAAAATATTTCCTCGAAATTTTGCAATTCAGCTGAAAGCGGTAGAAACAATATTCGGTGGCTGAACATTTTAATATTTTGTTTTTTTGTTTACCTTGGTACCTCTAAAAACAAAAATTTTACAGCCAATTAAAATGTTATTAAGATAAATTGAACGCACGGTACAAATCCCCTGAGTATCCTTTCGATAAAATTACGTTTTGGTCGGAGGTATATACATTAAATCCAAGACAAGTGCCGCGACACCAAAAAAAAAAAATTCAAAAGGCCTTTTCGTACATCATTGCGCGTATGGTAAACTCAATAAGCTTCTTCGACACAACGTCAATAAAAAGGTTTATGCAAATGTACAAAAGATATCTACTTGGATCTCAATAATCAGTTGCGATATAACTTAGATTCGTTTTTTATATCCTACTTTCGTTTATTCCCTCCCTTTCCCTCTGTGACAGATACAAGGAATCATCTACTGTCCGCGACTGAAATCTATATTTGAAGAATTTTTGTTATTTAAGTTATGTAGGTGAAACTAGGCTTAAACAGTAACTGGTTCTTCCAGATGTCTGAAACTCGTTTAAAAGAAAGCTAAGCTTGTTGTTGGCCATGTACTATACAAGTTATTGTAATATTAAATTATTATTGAGTCTGGGCCCACCTTTATATAGGTTTCTCTGTGATAAAAATATTCACTTCTCTGGTATTGTTTTTCCAATATTTTTTGACTTTTGCGAATAATATATTATCAAACACGTACATGGCAAAACAAAATTAGCCACTACATAACCAACAAAATATCTGAGAATGTTGAAGATATAAAAAAGTGCATAAGTTTGTGACTGGGAGATCTTTTTATCTTTTAGCCCTAAAAGGGCAACTGATTGATTGTTTCTGTTGATATTTAAGTATTTTTTTAACTTAGACTCAATGTTACAATTTTTTACCTATACCTAATTATGACAACATACATATTTTTCATTAAATTTTATTGTATTTGTTTTTGTTTAACTTCCTTTAATCAAAGTCAAAAATATTTATATTTTTAATTACTCCGATATTTTAGAAAAAAGCTTAAGTTAAGTGTGTGTCAGATCCACCACCAGTGAGCGTAGCAAAACAATGAAATGAAATGAACTGAAATAATTAAATGAACTTATGTCTGGGTTACTGGCAAACTTTACTTTTGTCATTATGTTATTACAAAGCGTTCAGTTTCAACATATTGACATATTTTACATTCGGGATTAGCAGACAAATCGGAGTGATTTGGATTTATTGCTTGGGTTTTGAATAAGAAATAAAACAATGTTACTTGACTTAAATTTTTCGACATTTGATTATACATTTCTTTAAACAAAATGTGTCCGGATATATTAATGTACGTTTGAATTGCTTTTTATTAAACTTAAAAAACCGAATCAAAACATCCGAAGCACCAAAACAAAAAATTAAAATGAATCATTATTGGTTCTCAAGATAGTTGATTTTCTTTCATTGTTTTAACTGTCAAAGAGCACGTATGTTTCTTCTTTATAAATTGGTATGGTCCATCGTTAGCGCGAACGACTCGCCCGTAACCTTCCTAGCAACGGCGACATCTACACGCCAGTTCCTGCGCCAACAAATAATGAAATCCTGGGCGAAGAGAAGCCGGACAGATTTAGTTCCTCCATTGATCGGTCGGTGCCGCAACGTGTTAGACAATGCCATAGATATATTTATTTATATTTAGTATGTGCCTAACACAATTTTTCAAACTCAGGACGTCGAATTCACTAGTGGATAGGCTTGACAATATCTCGCAATTAAGAAATAAAGGGTAATAGTTACATACAAGGTGTTTGGTACATCGAGAGAAAGTTTTTACTGGATACTAGATACTATTTTAAGCAAATATGACCAAATTTACCTTTCTTCAAAGTCTGTTTTCGAGAAAACACTTTTGAAATTTTTATTAAAGTAGTGGGTCCATTACTATTAACGATTTCTTAAGGTGCTATAAACTTTATATTTTCTGAAGCATTTTTTTAGCAAATGATAATATAAAATTTTTTCAACAACAAAACGGATTCAGTTAACTCCAATTGAACCAAATAGAAATTTTCTATACACCCTACTCTAAAATACCCAATTATGCAAGGATCATGTGTTCGGAAAGTGTCACTTTAGGCGTCAACTTTTTTACCCATGGTCGCGAGCCACTTCCGACATTTTCTATTTTTAGTCACGAGTTTGGGGCGATCGGATGTTTTTGAGAGTATATAAAATATAACAAACATATAAAATGGCGTTTATCAAACTTGTTGCATCGTACACTATTAAAATGTTTACTGTTTCGTGTTGTGTAAAATGAAATAAATTAAGTTTACGGTTACTTTAGTCATAATTACTTATCATTTTCGTCCGTAAATATTTATTTATGGTTTGTTCATGAATAAAAACCTTACCATTATGTAGATGTCAATATGGAGAATATTAATTTCCAAACGTATTTTTTCATTATTCAAATAATTTTTGTAATACTGTAATTTGACTTCTTTTGCATTCTTTTTATTAAATAAGTGCATATTCTGATTAGAAAAAAAACTTACCAATTATCTTTGTTGGAGACAAATGCAATATATTGTATCCTACAGTAGCAATTTTGTTTCTTTGAGCAGGGTTTTCGATGGGTCTCGATTAAAGGAACCGTATTGCAAATGCGCTCAATAGGAGTTTAGTTCTAAAGTAGGGTATTAATAAGGAAGTAATCAGATCTTCTTGACAATACATCTGGCATATTGGCATTATTGGTGGTATTTAGTACCTAACCTGCACAAAAAATCTTTAATTTTTAATAATTTTATTAAATAATTTTAAATAATTTAATAAAACTACACCAACTGCTATTTCGGATTTTACCTTCGTCCCAACGCATTTCAATCAATCAAAAGGGATTTAAACACCACTATATTATAACATTTAAATAAGAAACATTTTCAACAATTTTAGGTAAATTAATATCTTGTTTTTGGAAGAAACTAACAGGATCAAGAAAAACAGTAAAAAAACAAAATATTCTATAATTTTTTTTTAAATTACTTCTAGTATGGGAATAACAGCACAAAATTGTGATAACTTCCTCTACATAATATGATAAAAATAATAAAACAGTTCCGATTCGAATTTTTCATGCCAATATCTAAAAAATACAAAAACATCATTTTCAGGTACTAAACTTTAATGCAATATATCTCATTAATGGTTTACATTTTAGTAAGGCATATTTGGTTCAATATTATTCTCTTCCAAAGTCTAGGTTAGAGGTGCTTTTTATGGCATTCATTGCGGATCATCCTATATTATACTTCTACAGCAGCATCCAAAGAAAATCCCACGTACGCCGCTGTAATGCAGGTAGGTAATCATACAGTTTGTTAGGCGGTACTTACCGTGTAACTAATTAAAACTAGTGAAAGAGAGAGAGAAGGGGGCGCTGCTCGCAAAATTTATAGGGCAATTAGCACCCGGATCGTAATTTATACATACTTTTAACCCCCCCGTGAGACGCGTTGCACACTCCGGCGCACAGATCGGCACCCTGCGCGTTCTCTGTTGCCTGGACTTCAAAATTGAACTGCCGTTACTGGTTAAGTACCTGGATAACCGTTTGTACGGAAAAATGATATCGTTGCCTGATACTTATTAACCATACATCGTTTAGAATCGTATATAGATTAAGAACGTATCATTAAGAGTTTTAAGGTTGTAGTGGTTTAAATTCAAAATTTTGTTTTGATCTGTACAGTTGAAAAAATAGCGCAACATTCCTTGAACAATTTACGATTCATTGCTTTCAATCCTTTATCTCAAATATTTCATATATTATTAAATTCCTTTTTCGAGTATTTTACAGTTTTATCCTAAAAACAAATCAGTTACAGTTTTGGTATGCAATTGTTTATTTAACATGTAAAAATGCCAAGAGCCTGTGACCGTCATCAGTTTCATCGTGGTCATGGCTATCGAGAAATTCAAGAAGACAATGTCAATTTATGTGTTAAGAGTTCCACGATCCGTAGACTTTAGTCAATTACAAGGTCGACAATTGAGTCAAGTGAGACGATTTAGTTGTGTAGGACTAATATTCTCAAGGATTACTGTTAATCGGTTATCGTTGGTAATAGAGCATGGGAATATCGTTCGCTTTTGGTGTCAGCTTTGACAACACACATGTCTATAAGAAACAGATCACTTTTAGACCTAATTGCATAGAACACTCTTGTACTGGCACTACCTGTTAATAAAAAATATATATTTTCTGACTGATATATTAATTGAGATTGACCATTGAATGTCTTTGTTATGGAATTATAATTCTACCCTAAAAGCGAGGCATAGGTACGTTGTTGATATATTCGCTAATTTCGATCTCAAGAACTGGTTGAATAATCAAGTTTAATTATGAAAAAGAAAAAAATGGGTAACTGTTTTCAATGTATTGATCATAAATTTTAATGTTTTCAAGAAATCTGTCGATATCTATCTGCATGAAAAAT